CAACATATGTACTAATGTGCTGGACACAAATGATGTATGTACGGATTGTGATGAGTTGTATAAGCCCCTAATAAAATGATTATTTTTTTAAAATATTTTTTAAATACTGTTGGGGAAAAAAAAGAATTAAGATAAGAATTGTACTTGACTGCTTTAAAAATCGATTGTAGGATCTGAATGTATTTTGCTTACACTGAAATCTTCTGCTTATTATTGTTGATATAGTGATTGATTTGTTGATATAATGATTGATAGAAATTATTATTGGGAAGTATGAAAATGGAGAGCTTGTAAGCCCACTTGTCTTCATCATTAAAATTGGAATTTTAAATGGGTTTAGGACATACCTTCAAAGAAGGCTTTGAAAGATAAACCCACCTCCCACCCCCCAATGTCTTGAGTGCTCAGGACATTTAAAGGTGAAGAGATTTGTCTAGGGGCTCTTGACAGATTGAAGAAAAAGGAACTCTGGCTTTTTGAATTTTGAACTAGTGCTTTGTGCCAGTAGCTAGAAAAAAATTTGGAGCCATAAAGGAATTCTCCTCTCTAGTACTCAGCTGTTATAGGAAGCCTGTGGGCAGGCTGAAATGCTTGCTAGGTGACACCTGGATCCACTTGTTGAGTGGAAGTGAGAAAAATGCAGCAACAAAGAAATGAGTTGAATCTGACATCTGTGGACCCGGTTCACAGGCCCAGAGAAGATGAGAGCCGGTTGACTGGTCTAAAGTTCATGACCTAGCACAAGGGGTAGAGGGTTGTTCAGAATTTATGATGGGGTCCATGGTCTAAACGCAAGGCAGCCAATGGGCACCCTGGTGAGGCTATAGGAGGCATCTCACATTGAGTTGTCCAGAACCCACCAGATGAAGAAAATATTTTTGAGCCAGTGAACTGATGCATATTGCTGCTGATTTTATGGATGGCCTGTCCTGATTTGACTTTGCTTATGGATGTAGACTCACAAGGTTCCAACTGGAATGATGATTCTTCACACGAAAGAATATGATTTTCTCCTCAGAGCACTGGGTTGATATTAGTGGGCAATGTAGATAAGACACCCAAAATGGGATGGAGATAAGTAACTGACTGGAAGCCAAATACAGAGAGATTCTCTGCATTGTCTTCCTGCTGACAAGATACAAGGAGCTTCTCTAGAACCCTGGAGCTGGAGGAGCCACATTGAGAACCCTGCTGGAGCTGAGATGCTTCCACCACCACTGGAGCCACAAAATGTTCCACCCACTGACCTGTGATCTTCCTGCATTCAGTATCATTGCATGGCTGTATGAGTCTAAAGAGAAATTTATGGACTAGTATTGACATATGGGGTAAGATCAAACTTATGAACTTGATCTGGACTGGACTGGGATGTTTTCTTAATACATCCCAATTGCTCTTTGATATAACGCTCTTTCTTATACACATAGGATTGTCTATTACTTTGTTTCTCTAGTCCAACCCAGACTAACACAGTGTTGCTGTAGAAAGAGCATCCCTATGTCACTGAAAAAAATTATTTTTACTAAATCCATATTACTTAACTGTAAACTTCTCTCTTCATTTCATCCTTTCTTTAGAATAAAATAAGGTTATGTTTATTTTGGCTTTTCTAACTTATTAAAATATCCTCAAATGTTTGCTATTCATGTAACAAGTACTCTCCACCACACCAATTTTTGAAACACATTTTAAAATTAAATCTAATGAAGTAAAATATTGCCTCAAGAATCATGAATAAAATTTGAACCAACTTTGCATTAGTGGTCATGTAGTAAAAGAGAAACGTTATCTTCAATACATCTTTATGTAGTAAAAGTAATTAAAAGGTATTTGAATAAAACTAAATTTTTAAGAAGGATGTAATAAAATACACATATTCACTATGAAATTATTTTTACATTTTAATATAAAAGCAAGTGTATCATCAGTCTATTTATTTTATTTGCCATAACTGACAATAATTTTTACACTTGTGAAAATGTATTTTGTCACCCTTTGTTATACATTTTATATAAACAAGATCTGGAACTAATAGTGTATGATGTCATGATACATCCTGGTGGTGCTTTCCAGTAAGCATTAGAATAGTAACTGTAAAGTTCAACAGTTCAAAACAGTTCACCACTTGCTCTGAGGGAGAGAGACTAAGCTGTATGCTCCTGTAAAGATGCACAGCCTGGGAAAACCTACATTAGACTAGGAGTAGGAATCTATTCAGTGGCCTTGAGCTTGTGTTGGGGTTTTGGTGTGTGGCACAGCTGTCATCGAGTTCAACTACACATTGAAAGGTGAAACCTTTGACTATCGTATACTTCATGGGGAAAAGAGGGGGCGGTCTGCTTCCATAAAGCCTCAGAAACCCAATCTCCAGTGTCTCTCTGTCCTACAGGGTATTGTGAGTCAGCAGCTAATTGATGGCAGTGAGCATATTCATGGAGTAACAGAGATCATCAAGCATGAATATATTTATATTTGTAAAATAGTGATTGGATGATAAAGGAGCCTTTGTGGCACAATGGTTATGTACTCAGCCAAGAGCCAAATGGTAAGCAGTTTGAATGTACTAGCCAGCTCCTCTCAGGGAGAGAAAAGTGGTAGTCTCCGTTTGTAAAAACGTACAGCCTAGGAAACTCGACAAGGAAGCTCTACTCTGTCCTACAGAGTAACACACACACACACAACAACAACAAACTCATTGTCGTTGAGTCAATACTGACTCATAGGGACCTGATAGGACAGGATAGAACTAACCCCTGTGAGTTTCTGAGACTGTAAGGGAATCCTTTAAGGGAATAGAAAGCAGTCTCTCTTCTGCAGAGTCACGGGCAATTTCAAACTGCTGAGCTTGTGGATCACAGCCACCAGGGCTCCTTGCTACAGTACAAATCAACTCAACGACAGTACATTTGTTTGTTTTTCAGTTGTCATATATATATAATCACTTACAGCTTGAAAATTCCAGTGGGCAGGAATGTTCATCCATAGGAAAGTTATGAAGCTGAAGATAACATTCTGCATTAATTGTCAATCTGTCAAATGGGAAAAAAATTGAAATAATTTCATATTAAAAATATTTAGCCTAATAGTTAAACATGAATTTGACCTACAGTCATGAAGTTATTAGAACTGTTATACTCATTCACGAATGTTATGTTACTCTAAGACTGACATATATTTTCAAACATTTTTATCTTTACAGCCAACTTTCTCGGTACAACTTTTGTTATGATCTCTGTGTTGACAGTTAAAATTCATATTTTAGGATTTTAATAAACATTCACACATGCTCACATATGCATAGAGCAACTGAGTGTGCAATCTTTGTAAAGTGGTTGCTTTTTCTTATTTTATCATAAGAATACTACCATCAATGATAATCTTAGCAAGCAAGTAAGTTCAAGGTAATAAAGTAAAATTGAATCTTATACAATATGTTTCTTTTGATTTTTTTCTTGGGGGTGTTTTGCTACATCACTGAAAATCAGAACATGCCAAAAGTACATAATCTGTCTACTCACTTCTGTTTTATATAGGGCAATATCTAGAAAGGTTCCCTGTCTGGTTTTAGACTTTTCATGCAACATGAACTTTTGAGTATTAAAAAATATTCTCAAAAAATATATATGTTTTTAAATGTAGTATATGAATGGGCCTCCAAATTTATATCACGATTTGGGATATTAGTACGGAAAAGCAATTAAAGCAATTATGCCTATTTTTTGCAAATATAAAGCAATGTTACCTTAGAGTATACAGAACTCGCCCATCATTCCAAATTCGAAGCAGACGATTAGGGGTTGTTATCCAATGAGCATCAGATTTTCTTGAGTTTCTGAAGAAAGTGTCAGGAATCCAAATTTTCCCAACCATATTGCTATTAAGCATAAGTACTTTTATGGTACTATTGAATTTTAAACGACTATCAAACCAGGTTTGGGCAAAAATTATATCTATCGTGTATTCCTAAAGATAAAGAAAGATTATTAGTAGACTCGCTATTTCAAATGTTTCCTCAGAAATCTTAATTTTTACATTATAAAATTCTTATAAGATATAAATACACTTAGCCTAATTTGTGGGAAGAAAAACATTTTCTTCACCTTCCAATCATTTTTATTTGCTTTTTAAAATAAAGTTCAAGCTTTCCACTAATTACTGTTCCCTGGATGATTTTATTCCAATTTCTATAAATTTTAGTCAAGGTTTTGTTATATGTAGGATATAAACATAAAATATAAACTAAACTATTGAAAAAATATTATATTTACATGGTGCTTAAATCACCAAAATATAGCAATTAGAAAATCAAGAGAAAACATCTGCCATATTTTCTAAAGCCTATATTCTCCATTGTCAAAAAAAATGAATGTCAATTATTTAAATCCATAGGTTCAAATATTTTAAAGCATCGCAAACAACATTTTACTAAGCGTTATTATGAGTTGGGTGAAACATTGAATTAAGAAAACTGCACATATCATGTACAAAATCTTTAATTCAATGCTGTGATATATACATACTACCAAGACATTTTTTCTTTTCTTGAGTAACAGTGTGCTAAAATAATTGTCCTCACAATACAGAATGAAAGGCTAATATTCACACAGAATGAATGGAATTACACTATGCTAGGTTGAATCTCACTTCCAAGACCCAAACAACCACAGATAAAATTTATTATAGTAATATTTTCTGAGTAATGAGATTGGAGCAAAAGTTATGTCTGCATCCAGCAAGTGACTATAAATAGGAAATTGCTTGGTTACAATACTCAGGAATAGGTGATTAGGTGTTACCTACCATTGTATACTGGCAAAATGCCTGGCATATGATAAGCATTAACATTTCCTGGACAAAATTAGTGAATAAAAGTTCAGAGAAAATCAATTTTATGGTAGAGCAGGTGGAAAATTATGTATGTGTGTGTTACTTTGCAAATAAAAGAGAAACAATTATGTAATGGTAGACTAGGTAAGCTATTTGCTCTAGAAATGTCACTAATAAAAAATGGCCAGTTTGCTTTAAAGGAACTATCTACTAAAAAAAAATTGAGTTTGATTAATGAACGTGAACAGCAGGAATGCCCAGAGAATAGACTCACTGATTAAGACTCACTTTGTTAACAGGAAAATCAGATGAAATCTTACTTTCCTGGATTAATATTTACAATTACAATTTGATGGGAATATGGAGAGTAAATTGAGAGTGGGAAATCTCATTTTAATTATTTTGGATGGACAAAGTTAAAATTTGGATAAAAATTATAATAATAATAATTATTATTATTATTCAAGGTCCAACAAAATCCCTGAAATCAAGAAAGTAGACATCAAAAAACAAAGATTAATGCAGATAGATTAACTACTATAGATGATTTTTTCTATATAAAATGTAATTAATTGCTTATCAATAATCTACTAATTAACATGCACTTTGTGTGTCATTGAAGACATGAAGCCCTCTTGCACAAGAATAACTGCATCATCATGGCTCACTATTCACATGGTAAATACTTGGACTGACACAATAATTTGAGAGGAATAAATAAATTCTGCTTTTTTCACTTTAATATGAGATAGCACAGTATCAAATTATATTGGGAAATATAGGCTTTAAAAGACTTGGATAAAATTAATAAATCCTAGAGGCAGTTTTCTTCAGGTGGATGAAGTATTTGTAACTGAACTAGGATTATGCATTTAGTATAATCATGAACCCATATTTACAATATCATCAACGTACATGCAGAAAATTCTGGACCAACTGTTATTTTAAACCTTTTTCTTTTTCTCAAGCTAGAAGTCTTATTTCTTTTTAATTGAATTTTGTTTTGTTCAAGAAACTTTTTCATCTGACACAAATGATTAACTATTCTGAAGCAAACAGTATAGCCTGTGTTAAGAACATGCTTTTTTAGTTTTAATAGTAAATGCAAACAGAAAATAGGCTCACACATGCTAACGATATCAGTTAAAAGTATGTAATAGAGTTTCATTGTAAATTTACATTGAATCAAACAACAGAAATAATTCAGAAAGAGACAGATGCTAAGTATGATCCAGGATAATGGATTGGCAAAGACCCAGTAGTGTCGGAAGAGGGGATATAGTTTTACTTGGTAGGTATAATTGGCTGCAGTATTTCCAACTGGGCTTTACATGTGGTACTTTAACAAGAACTCACATACAGTAAGTTTAGAATTTAACACAAACACAAAGCCAAACCCAATGCTAGCAAGTTGATTTCAACTCAAAATGACCATTTGTAAGATTTCAGAGAGAGCAATTCTTGCAGTCTTATAGTTTCAGAGACATTCTAGAGTTTCAGAGCCTGCACCTCTTGGGCACAGACAGCTTCTCCTTTCTCCCAGACAGCCATGTGTTTAGCAGCACTCTGCATAGTTCACAGCCCACCCAAGCACCTTGGCTTTTCAAAAGCAGATTCTAATCCTGTTTAGCAGCTGAATGGCCCTCCTCCAGAATCTCTTCTAACAGCTAAAGTGAGAGGCACTGTTGTAAAAATTATAGTTTAGTAATGGGTTGAGTTCTTTGAAATAGTCTTGGGGAAATCTGACAATATTTCTATCACAATTGTTCCCTTAAGCTAGGATCAAAAAGAAAATAGAGAGAGCATATTTCTTGATAGACCCTCCTCCTCAGGCCCACCGCAGAGCCTTGCAGCTTACTGAGCACTAACAAATATCTCACTCAGATAAGAAGGTCATGAAAGTCGATACCATTTTACAGGTAATATGAAAATCCAATTTTGTTTACACATTTGTGTCAGCACAAATTCCAGAAAATGATCAAACTGGGTTCTTGTACTTCATGTTCCCATTGAGAGGCTATAATTACCTGCGTAATGCATAAACAAAGAAAGAGAGCATGAGCTGCCGTTCACTCTGCTTGAGAAGAGCAGTCTTTTTGGATGAACAGTTTGCGATAAACAACAGCACATTTACTTTTTGAGAGCTTATGTGATTTGTTTTCCCTCCTTACAAATTAGCTGGTAACAGAGCATTATTGAATTAAAGTTAAGCGAGTTATCTTGATTGGTGATTCAAATTAAACTATGACTGATGAAAGCCTATGACATGCAGATTTCTCAGCTTTGCAACTATACACTATCTCGCATTTTGCAGCAGTGATTACTTCCTTATTACTTTCTTTCTAATAATACCATAAATTTTACCAAACATCTTAGAAAGATCTATGTAAGTCAAATAACTACCACTTGTCTGTCAGTTTGTCCTACTACGGCGACTGGCGACTTGGGATGCTTTAGTGTAAGGTATGTCACAGGGACTTCAGATACCAGCAGGCTCACCCCAAGTGAACAGGTTTCAGCAGAGCTGCCAGATTATGGCAGACTATAAAGAAAGCATAGGCTGTCCACTTTAGCGACTAAAAACCTTAGAGGTACCATGGAAAATTTCAGATCCTGAAGGCCTAATGAATAGCAGCAGAACATTGTCGAGTATAGTGTCGGAAGATGAGCAGTTCATGTCAGAAGGCTCTCAAATATGACTAAGAAAGAATTCCTTGATCAAAGTAGTCAACCATCATGACCTCTATGAAGTAAAGCCAGTGGGAGTAAAATGTTTGGGAATGTTTACTGATTTTACACCTAAAAATTACAAGAAACAGGTGCAAAAATCTACTAATAATCAGAACCTGAAATGTATGGGGGGAAATGTATGGAGTATGAATCTAGGAATATTGGAAGTCATCAAAAGTGAAATAGAATGCATAAAGTTCAATATCATAGATGGTTAGTGAGCAGCAACGAGCTGGTGTTGTTCATTTTGAATCAGGAAATCATATGGTTTACTATGTATGCCTGGAGCATATAATCAAGAGACATGGCATTGAATTCATAGTCACATAGGACATTGCAAGATCCATTTTGAAGTACAATGCTGTCTGTGATAGGATTATATTGATTTGAATTCAAGGAAATCCAATCAATACATCTATTATTTAAATTTATGCACCAACCACTAAAGCTAATAATGCAGAAATGTAAGCATTCTAACAGTGTGCTGTCTGAAATTTATCAAACATGCAATTGAGATGCATTGATAATAAAATACAAAAGTTGGCAACAAAGGGGAAGGAGTGGTAGAATGATAGAAAGCTGGAGATCCTATGATAGAATTTTGCAAAATCAATTTCTCCATAGAAAATGCCATTTTTCAAGAACACAAATGGGAACAATACACATGGACTTCTTCAGATGGAATACAAAAAAATTGACTACATCTGAGGAAAGAGTTATGAAAAAGCTCAATGTCAGCAGCTAAAAAGAGGCCAGGGGCTGACTGTGGAACAGACCACCAACTGTTCACATGTAAATTCAGGTTGAAGCTGAACTGCAACCATGAGCTCAAACATCAGAACAACTGTAAGGATGTAGCATAGGCAGGCAGTATTTCATTCTGCTGTGCCATCAGTCATGATCAGTCAGAATTGATCAGAGGGCATTTAACCAAAACACACCACCACCACCCCCAAAAGAAAAGCAAAACAAGCTAGGCACAAAATGTCATCATGAAGTTTGAAAGCTATTGATCTAAACTTCCCAATTTTATCATTAATCTCTCAAACTATCTAACTATCTAGTCACATCGTCAGAATAGATGATGGCCTAAATCCCAATTAGTAGTAAATTACATTCTAGTGCCATAGATAAGTGGAACAACAGCACAAGTGTCTTGGTATCAGCTTTATGTTGCTCAATTATTGTAAGAGCACCAGCTACTTGATACTGTCACAGTAAGGTAAGTAGAAAACATCGTTATTCCATTTTTCTAAAAGAATAAAGACAATTAGAACAAAGATTATGTTATCCACTTATAACAGTGAGATCACCAAGTAGCAGGGAGAGGTATTCAAAAAGTAGTCAGATGGATGCATCCTGGACTCAGCTAGTAACCCTTTGATCTCTGGTTTCAGATCTCTAAA